TTTTTTATTGAAAAAAAAATTTCCGCCTCCTCCCAGCCTCCCATTTTCCTCCCCCTCCTCCCACACCTCTCCCCCCTCCCCCCACTCCTCTTCCCCTCCCTCTCCAGTCCGAAGAGCAGTCTGGATACCCTGCCCTATGGAAAGTCCAAGGTCCTCCCCCCTCCATCCAGGTCTAGGAAGGTGAATATCCAAACTGGCTAGGCTCCCACAAAGCCAGAACATGAAGTAGGATCAAAACCCTGTGCCATTGTCCTTGGCTTCTCATCAGCCCTCATTGTCCACCATGTTCAGAGAGTTCGGTTTTATCCCATGCTTTTTCAGTCAAAGTCCAGCTGGCCTTGGTGAGCTCCCAATAGATCAGCCCCACTGTCTCAGTGGGTGGGTGCACCTCTCGTGGTCCTGACTTCCTTGCTCATGTTCTCCCTCCTTCTGCTCCTCATTGGGACCTTGGGAGCTCAGTCGGGTGCTCCAGTGTGGGTCTATGTCTATCTCCATTCATCGCCAGATAAAGGTTCTATGGTGATATGCAAGATATTCATCAGTATTGCTATAGGATAGGGTCCCTATCCTCAGCTGCCCAAGGAACTAACTGGGGACATTGCCCTGGGCACCTGGGAGCCACTCTAGGTTCAAGTTTCTTGCCAACCCTAAGGTGGCTCCCTTAACTAAGATATGTGCTTCCCTGCTTCCCTATCCAAACTTCCTTTATCCCCAATCATCCCGTTTCCCCAAGTTCCCCCCATCCTCCCCTTCTCACTTTTCTCTCCCCATCTTCCCTTACCACCGTCCCACCCCACCCCCAAGATCCCAATTTTTTGCCCGGCAATCTTGTCTACTTCCCATAACCAGGAGGATAACTATATGTTTTTCTTTGAGTTCACCTTCTTATTTAGCTTCTTTAGGATCACAAATTATAGACTCAGTGACCTTTATTTATCTCTAGAAACCAATTATGAGTGAGTATATCCCATATTCATCTTTTTGAGTCTGGGTTACCTCACTCAGGATAGTGTTTTCTATTTCCATCCATTTGCATGCAAAATTCGAGAAGTCATTGTTTTTTTTACTGCAGAGTAGTACTCTAATGTGTATATATCCCACACTTTCTTCATCCATTCTTCCATTGAAGGACATCTAGGTTGTTTCCAGGTTCTGGCTATTACCAATAATGCTGCTATGAACATAGTTGAACAAATGCTTTTGTCATATGATAGGGCATCTCTTGGGTATAGTCCCAAGAGTGGTATTGCTGGGTCAAGGGGAAGATTGATCCCGAATTTCCTGAGAAACTGCCACACTGCTTTCCAAAGTGGTTGCACAAGTTTGCATTCCCACCAGCAATGGATGAGGGTAACCCTTCCTCCACAACCTTTTCAGCAAAGGTGCGGATAGCTTTTAAATAAACATTTTTTGTAGCATAAATGAAGAATATAAACATAAATAAGGAATACAGTATTAATAAGGGAAAAGGAACATGACAATGGGGCTGGTGCTGATACACTAAGGAAGGAAGAAGACCTCCTCTGTTGTCCCACATTGCAGAGGGGTTTAAATGGCCTAACAGAATGTCTCCAATCCAGAAAAAAATAGCTATGATTAACACTTCTTGATAATGCTGTTTCAAACTTTCTCTGGGCTTTGCTCTTTAAGGCACAACAGCAGGAAAGCCTATGTGTCACATTTAACTTTCAGATACGTTCTGTGAGGTGATGAACTAATACTTACACAAACCGTGACTTCGATCAGCGAGCGTGCATCTATACATACAGGCTAGCTCCTTGATTGGTGGAACACACAGTCAGAATCATAAATCGCAACGGAACCAGGCGATGGCTGTCCCCAAGGGCACTTTGAAAGAATGCATACTTAAATTGGATCCTAAAACTCATAGGTTTGAATTTATTACCCATTCTTCAAGAAATATTATAGTTATATATAAGATAGCATTACAGAAATGGAATTCGATGACAACAAATTGGTTGGACTTTTAAAAATGATGACCAGAGTTACGTCACTCCACGGAGCTCAGTCTTTGCTCTAAATTCAGCATGTCACTGAAGCATTTAAGTCTGGCTGCAAATGGATTTATACATAATTTCTTTGAATAAATACCAACATTCTCTGAAATATAAAGGAAGATTTGACAAAGAAAATCCAAGAAAGAAAAAGATCTGGGTATAATGCAGTTTAATCACTGGATACTCTATCGCGGCTGCTTAAGTCTGGGTTTCTATTATTGACAGAACAAACGCACAAGCTGGGTGTGGTAGTTCCAGCCTGCCATCCCAGGACGTGGGAGGATGGCACAAAAGGATCGGGAATTGAAGGGCAATTTGGGTCACATATTGAGTTTGAGACCAGGCTGGGCTATATGAGATCTGGCTCAACAAAGAAAACAAATAAACAAACAAACAAAAAAAAAACCAAACATAAAACAGGATATAAGACCATCAAGCCTTAATTTCTTGTGATTTAATGTCAAACCCTCCCTAAACATCAAAATACTTATACAGATTCATTGAATACTTTAAACTTTTATCTGCAGTTCATCGATGCTATTATTCTTAGGGATGAAATTAATTATAGGAAATTATGAGACATCAATACCTTATTAAAAGATATAAGAGTAATATTTGAATATGTCTGGAGAACTGGTGAGATTCCACAGTGGCTAAAAGTGCATGTTGCCAAGCTTGACGACCTGACTTTGATCCCTGGAACCCGTGAACACTGCACTCGACACACACAATCACACACACACACAATCACACACACACAATCACACACACACAATCACACACATACACAATCACACACACACAATCACACACACAATCACACACACACAATCACACACACACAATCACACACACACAATCACACACACACACAATCACACACCTATGAGAGAGAGAGGATAAATAAACGTAATAACATCGAAAAAAATACACACAGATTTAGATGCATTCTATATAAAAATTTCCGACCAAAATAACTTTCCATACACCTGTCTTTACATATTTAGTTGTTAACAAAATGGATTTTTTTAAGCATGTGACTTTTTCCTCCACTTTCAGTGGACTGACCCCTCCTGTACCTCTGTTTGCTTACATCTAAAAATGGAGATAACATTGTGGTTACCTCGTAGGAATGTTGAGAGAGTCAAATGAGATCATCTAAGAAGAAAAACTGTGCCTAGCTCATAATGATTCTCAGTGGCTATTACTGTGGCCGACTGACAGTCAAAATTTGAGGCCTTGACATACATTGCTTAATCTATATTTTGGTATTCTGTTTTCCACTTGCACTTACTTGGTACACAGTGTAACTATCAAATTCTCACCATGTTTAGATTCATCCTTAAGTAAGCAATCACATATTTTGATTAAAAATGTTTAGTATCTTTATGATGAGAGAGAAGAAAAAGTCAAAGTCCTTTGGACCAACATATTGTTTTCTTCCTGCCATTTTTTCACTTCTGAGAGGGAAGGGCTCACTCTGGAGGCCTGGCAGGAGGAATTCTACATGAAAAAACGAAGACACCAGGGCAGGCAGCACCAAGCCCAAGAGTGCAGAAGACCCAGAGTCAACTTCCGTAAGAAACAAACCACATAAGTCTGGATTCCAAAATAGACAAGCAGGGCTCTTTGCAGGGCCAAATGACCATTATCTTCCTAAAATTACTCCAAGAATGTTTTGTAAGACAGACTTAAATAAACTGACCCATTGGCCACTCTCAGCTCACTTCTGTTTTGCTTCTGGTCAAGTTTGGCCAGCCTTCCTGGCTTACATTTTCATGTTTATCCTTAAACACAGCAACCACACAAACTGAGTGGAATGCCTCTGTTTAAGAGTAGCATGCTGAATTTGTCTACTAACTGCTCTGCAAACTGAGTTTTGTGTATATTGTATTTTTTTCTACTTTTCCAGATTTTCTGCATGTATAAAATTCTGGAAGGGTGGGAGGAGGGGGAGGGAAATGGGAGGCTGGGAGGAGGTGGAAACTTGTTTTTTTTTTTTTTTTCTCCTTTTCTCAATAAAAAAATGGAAAAAAAAATTCTGGTCTTCTTCTACACCAGCTTCCAACTATGTTTCTTGTGATTTTAACTCACTTAAAGGATGCATATCATGTTAAATGTTGGTAAGTATACGAAGAATATCAAAGTAATAGTACAAAGCGATTAAGAACAGTGAATGTAAACAGAACTCTTCTTTATTCATATCAGTAACAAACTGAACTGTCCTCCTTGCCTCCTGGCAAAATGTAGATTTTTTTTTTTTTTGGCAAAATAATGACAGTTGTTTCTTGATCCAAAGATGTTTTACAATGAAAAAACAGTGCTAATATTTACAAGAAGCAACATTTAAATGGCAGGTTTTAAATAACAGACAGACACACACAGACACCCCCCACGCACACAGGTAGCCGGACTCAGGGCCTGTAATCATAGAAAAGACAGAGGTAGAAGTATCTCAAAGGTTTGAAGCCAGTCTGGTCTCCACTTTGAGGCCTTGTTTCCAAACTTACAGGTTTATCATCTCACAATCAAGGTGTTCTAATCTTGAGAGGGCCATTTTCCATAGGCTACAAACAGGAGGTGTTTTTTTTTTTTTTTGCTCTCCCTAGGCAAGGGTAAAGTATTCTCTGTGTGTTTGACCAACTCTGGATTTTGCGTTTGGAAAGCTGTTATCCATCTGCATTATTCCCACTTTATAAACAGAAGTCACAGACTAAATGTTGGCCTGAGAGGGAAGTCCTGCATCTTTGCCCAACTTCACTGGGGGTAGGGTGGGGGCTCAGCCTGGATACTATTTCCTCCTTCGTGACTTAGTAAAGGTACTTTCCAATCTCCAGGAAGGTGACCGAACAAGGTCGAGTGCCACTTTCCTCTCCCGTAGCCCCACGGTGGGTCCCGAACGCCCGCTTCCCGTGGCTCAGCTCCCGGGTGCACCGGGAACCCACAGCCGCGGCCGCGTGACCCGACCACAAACGCGCGGCACCGCACGTGTCCGCGCGGCCCCGGGGCTCGCGCCGCCGCTCGCCAAGTCGCCCAGGACTGGCGGCGATCGGGGCCCTCGCCATGCTGTTCCGCTTCGGCGTGGTGGTGCCGCCCTCGGTGGCCGGCGCGCGGCTCGAGCTGCTGCTCGTCGGGTCGCGGCCCGAGCTGGGGCGCTGGGAGCCGCGCGGAGCTGTGCGTCTCAGGCCCGCGGGCACCGCGGCGCTGGCGCTGCAGGAGCCCGGCCTGTGGCTCGCCGAGGTGGAGCTGGCGCCCGACAACGAGGCGGCGGCGGCGGCCGGAGAGGACACGGGCCGCGTCGACACGTTCTGGTACAAGTTCCTGCAGCGCGAGCCCGGAGGCGAGCTGCGCTGGGAAGGTACTGCCCACCCGGGCCTCGGGGCGCGCATCCCGCGGCTTCCCCGTGCACCCTGCCGCAGCCTCGGGGGCCCCGTAATCCTCAGCTCTCCAGTGTGGCGCGGCCGCTGTCTCAGGCGCGCACCCCGCAGCTCGCGCGCTCCCGAGCACACCCCACAGTCGGTCACCGCTCGCCCCCTAGACCTGCCCACTTACTTGACCCCACCTCGCTGCACCCGTTCCTGCCCTAGGCCTGACTGAGCCTAGGCTTGTTGCATCTCTGTGTGTTTTATTCTTTCAGTGAAAAAATACTGTGCACCTGTCACTGTGCGTTCAGGTTCTTTTTACTTTTAGAGATTTTTGGACTGGAGTCCAAGTGCAGAGTTTTCTTCCCAGCCTTTGGGAGTATTTCTCTACAACAGATTCAGAGAAGCCAATGTGTGGCCACTTAACATTTCAGTAAGGAATGGCCTGAAGAAGCGATACCAGCGTGTTTCCCCATGACACAGGGTGAATTGACACGGCCTTTTCTTTGAAGGAAATGACCAGGGTGGAAAATTGAGATTACATATGCGTGGTGGTTTGAAAGAAAATGGTCCCCAAAAGAAGCTACAATATTAGGAGGTGTGGCCTTGTTGGAGGAAGTATGCCACAGTGGAGATGGGCTTTGAGAGCTTGTATATGCTCAGGCCATGCCCAGTGTCTCAGACCACTTCCTGTTGTTTGCCTAACAAGGTGTAGAACTCTAAGTTCTGGATCATGTCTGCCTGCACACCACCACGTGGTACCATGATGCTAATGGACTAAACCTCTGAAAATGCCACCCCAATTAAATTAAAGAGTTACTGTGGTTATGTCTCTTCATATCAACAGAAACCCTAACTGAGACACCGTGGTTCAGTGGTTGTTTAAATGCCATGGAAGGAATGCTTCTTGAGACATTCATAAGGGCAGAAAAACAGGCCATTAGCCAGGAAAGATGTAGAAGCCAAGAATCCAGAAATTAAACAAAACAAACAACAGCAACAACAGCAGAAGAATACGGTTTACTGGCATGTGTTTATTACTTTGCTGTTCCTTCTGGCCACTCCTGGGTTTGATGGTCAGCTAGCATTACTGTCTTTTACTATCCCAGAAGCTAGAGGTGCTGGCCTCTTTTTGTCCTTTCTTTGAAGGGCTTTTCTGCCAATATTACTATGGACTTCTCCACCATAAAATAACTTCTCATAATTTTAAAAACAGTGTAAGGTATACTAGAGTTTCCATTTTCAGGTTCTCTTATTTATTACCTTTTCTGACATCACCTAAGACACCCAATAATTTGCTTCACTGCTATTTCTTAGAGTAGTCTCTTTAGCTTGTGTGCTTTCAGTTATTCTGAGGGTTACCACATACATTATTATTAATTTGTAAAAATTCGTATCTATTGATACCTGCTGTAAATGCATGAAATTAACAGCTGCACTTGCTATAAAATATGAAGAATTTAGTCCATGCTCATTGCCTCTTTCTTCCCTATTGATTTTATAGCCTCATTTTAAATTATAGACTTTTAATTATATTGACTTTTATTTTATAGAGGGTTCGTTATTACTCTATTAAAAATTGCTCTTTAAACAATTTCTAAAAATAATGCACACACCCCTCTCCTTTCCCTTACCCTGTCTTTGTTTCTACATTAATTTTCATGTGTTCATGTTCTATTCTTTCCCTGTTAGCAGTGCCCTCATGTGGATGGGTTGGTTGGTGCTAAGAATTAGAAATTAACGAGAAGATTTGTCATGCCCTGTGTTTAAGAGCAAGGATCCTTGGACTGTCACTGCCTGACCCAGGAATATGGTTTTGTTAGACTAGCACAGATTGATGTCAAGTGATTAAGTGTTTGGTAGGATCGAAGGCTCTCACTCACTGTGTGTGCATGTATTAAGTGTTTGGTAGGGTTGAAGGCTCTCTCTCACTCACTGTGTGTGCATGTATTAAATGTTTGGTAGGGTTGAAGGCTCTCGCTCACTGTGTGTGCATGTATTAAATGTTTGGTAGGGTTGAAGGCTCTCGCTCACTGTGTGTGCATGTATTAAATGTTTGGTAGGGTTGAAGGCTCTCTCTCACTCACTGTGTGTGCACTTATTAATTGTTTGGTAGGGTCGAAGGCTTGTGCTTACTGTGTGTAGCCCAGGCTAGGCTGCAGCTGGTGGCAATCACTCCATCCTCAGCCTCCAGGGTGCTGGGATAACGGGAGCAAACCATCCTTCTTAATTTTAAGATTGTCACTATAAACCAAGTGGTGCCAGGATGGTGGTACAGGCCTTTGTTCCCATCACTCAGGAGGCAGGTGCATCTCTGAATTTAGAAGTCAGACTGGTGTATGAAGTGAGTTCCAAAACAGCCAGAGGTATACTATAGAGAGACCCTGTCTCAAAAACACCAAAATAAACATTTTTTTTAAAAAAATAAAATGAATTCTCAGAGGCAGAGACTATCCCTGGATGGGTAAAGTCCCTTTCTTTCACAATAATGCCCACCTTGCTCAAATTTTGCTTAAAACGGTTTCAGAATTTGTTTTTACTGTATTTTCATATTGAAAATTTCTTCCACAACTTAATTTCAAATTTCTTCTTTCTATTTTAACAGAAGAATCACACTAGCCCTTAAGATATCTTGCTTACTCATAGGATTTAATGATTGAAATTTTGCTTATTTCGTGAAAACACCTTTTCTTGCACATCTGGGATTCCTGCTGCAGTTACCACTTATAGGAAGCTCCCCCAGCGCCTGTGGGAGACTTTAACAACAAGCACCCACGTTTTCTGCCTTGCTTTGGACCTCACATTGTCTTTCTTGAGCAACTTAATCATTGTTTGTTGTGTTCTCTAATATGGGACACCCAGTGTCTGAGCCCCCAAGTCCAGGTTGGTCATTTGGTAGAGCATTCTGATCTCAAAGCCCTTTGCTCTTCGCCACCTTTGTCTCAAGACCTTTAAGCATCAGCTTTGGTGGAATATTCTAATGTCAAACTCAGTTTATTTTTTTCCCTTTGGTGGAGGTGATCCATTTGGTTTTCCTTTGAAACTTTAATTTTTAAAATAAATTGTGTCAGGATGTGTCTCACTATGTTTAGTGTTACTTGACACTTGATTGCTTTCTTTAATACTAAGAATTATTTTCTTCAATTGATGTAAATATTTGACTATTTTCTTATCTATATTCTTGTCTTTTTTTCCATTTGAAATGTGATAGCCACATATGTTCTGCTTATGCACTAAGCATCTCTAAAACCTTTTTCTCTCATTTTTATCTTTTATGTATAAATATATTTCCTGTGTTTCTGACCTTACCACTTGACCTTCTGAAATCATCCATTTCATAATTTTGTCAGTGTACTGAAGTTTTCACTTTTGATGGTCATTATTTTTCATTTTTTATTGTATGTGGATAGGTGTTTTGCTGGCATTTATTCCTTGGTACCTTGTGCTTGTAGTGCCTTCCAGGCAAGAAGAGGGCCGTACAGATGGTTGTGAGTCATCATGTGGGTGATGGGAATTGAACCCTCTTCCTCTGGAAGAGCAGCAGTGGCATCTTAACCACTGAGCCCTCTCCCTGACTCCAACAGTCACATTTTCTTTTGTTCTCTTCCGATGTCATTTCCCCCCCAGAGTTGGTTGTTGTTAATGTATTATGATTCAAAGGATGTTGAATAGAGTTGATTAAAGTTGATTTTGTCTTTCATTAGTTTAACCAATTTGTCAGCAATTCCCCCCCCCCCCCCCGATGGCTTCATTCATGCTGTAGATTTTCCTTACATATTGGATAACCTTTGGATAGCTGCTCCCTGGACAGAGGATATGCTGCTGAGGTTGATTCTGTTTATCTAAACCCTCCTCTGAACAGGTGGGGGGTGGGCAGCAAAGCTGGTCCAAAGCCAGAGCTGAGGGTTGCCAGTGACAGTAAGAGACTTGAGGGAATTTTGTCAAAAGCCTCTGGTTCACTGACCAATGGATCATGTTACTAATATTTCCTGAAACAACCTAAAAGACAACAAACAATTTATTATACAATTATTATTATGAGACGGATAGAGATCAGTGAGTGGAGGAGAGGTAAGGACCAGAGGAGACATACTGGGAATCTGCACTGAAATTGGCCCATGGAGGTCCGGGTTTATAAGCCAGTGCCAGGTTCTCTAGCAGATAGGGCTGAGGCAGAGACAGTCCCACCAATTTCTCTCTGGGGCTGAGCAAGATGGTGAGTGTGGATGACCCAGACCTCCCCTTGGCCACCAAAAAGAAGCACACCCTGAGCCGGAGTCTGTCAAAGCAGGATCTCACTTTATTGCATCAGGGCAGAAACTTATATAGGGCTGAGGTAGTGGGTGGGAGTCTTGGGATGGGGTGAGGTAGAGTAAGGAATAAGAGTCAATAATATCCTACCACATCAGCAGTGGCTGGGCAGAGGCGGGCCTAGGTCAGGCTGTGCTAAGTCACTCCTCTCCAAACTCAAGTTTGGCTCAGGAAGTAACACGGGGCCTCACTAAACTCAAGTTAGGCACAGTAAGTGACACTGGGCCTCATGAGGTCCAACAGCCAGTTTATCAACATATTTTTTCTTTTTTTTAATATATATTTATTATGTATACAATATTCTGTCTGTGTGCATGTCTGCAGGCCAGAACAGGGCACCAGACCTCCTTCCAGAAAGTTGTGATCCACCATGTGGTTGCCGGGAATTGAACTCAGGACCTTTGGAAGAGCATGCAATGCTCTTAACCACTGAGCCATCTCTCCAGCCCCCTATCAACATATTTTTTATTGAAGAAGAAACAACGGCCTCCCTTTTTGGCAGCCAGCACATCAAGGACCCTCCATTTGTGTAGGATCATTGAGGTTAGGGAGTTAAGTTTGTTCCTGGGCAGTTGTAAGGTTGAGGTTGACTCCTGGTTGGTGTCTGCCAACTGGACAGAGATCTGGGAAGGTAGATGTAAACTATGACCGAGTCACCCCCACCCTAATGACCCCCACCCCCTGA